ATTGTCGGGGCTTTGCTTCACACTGGCTGAATTGCTTCTTCCAGCAAGAAACCTGACGATTGAAAAGTACAAAAGATCGGCGACCTGACCATACTTTCTCACACCAACCCAGCCGGTCGCTTAGGTTGACTGCAGGATCCTACTGTGAAGCTTCACAGCTAGCGGACACCGAAAGTATGTCGACTGCTTATGTCAAGGGTTTCCGGGGACCTTAATTCGTGCAATACGCTAACTATACGTCAGTCAGTATGTGTTAACTGTCAGTGAGGGCACCCGACCTAGAACCTGCATATGTGTTAGGAGAGTTATATGCTTACGAATAATTTCAAGGTCTTTCTCCGCAGCCTTGTCCTTTCCGTCCATTTATGACTTAATTTGGAAGAATCATGTAGGTAGCGTTTGTCAGATGTCTAGATGTAGGAACAGTAGCTTGCGTCAGGATCACAGAATATATTTAACATTCAGGTTATGGGCTACCGAAGAAAACTGCGGAGACCCTGCTGACTACTACTTGCCTGCTATCCATCGTAAACCAGTTATACCCATACGTAACGCTATATTCCACAGGTTTGATCGTTAGCCGACTTTTAACTTACTTCTACAAATTTGCTTCCATGCCTATCCTATTTCCCCACTTGCAAAACCCCTTTAACCACCGTGTCCGTAGGACAAAATGCTGGGACTGGGGGTATATAAGGTGCACTACTTAAGCTACTTTCGCCGCACTATTAATAAATGAACAGATACGATGCTTTATGGAGGGACATTTCATTGTCTTAAAAATCTTATAAGTAGAAACTTTTGAAAACTGCAAGGTACATTTTTTGCAAATATAAAAAATTATAGAAAACGGAATTTGCTACCAAATGCATACATGAGAGAATGTTTTTGGATATGTGTTCTATAAAATATATTCGAATTTATAAGGGCATCAAAAGTTAGTGAGGCATATTAGAACTTCTTAAGTAGTCTCCTTTTACAGAAAGCAGTGTTGCAGGCGACTAGAAAAAAACTCGTTCGTTTCGAAATTTAGGTCGACGTTTCACGACATGGCAAATCTGTTGTCGATGAAGTCAGCTTCTGTTGCATAATTGAGTTCTGATAGACAGAATCTCATTTGATTCCGATTGGAGGATATAGAGCTGATGGAGTGCAAGGTCTTCTCTAACCATCACGGGCAAGTTCAGGATGTGAATCGCCGGTACTTAAGTCCTATCTGAAAGCTAAGTTGTGCCCGTGTTGAAAGCAGTCAAGGCCACCTCTCGGACTGAAATGTCAATGCTTGCAAAGAAGGTTAATGAGCTTGACGCAATAAAGCATTGGCGGAAACTGTGTTTTGTCATTTTGTTGTCGGTTGGGCATTTGTTGTCGCGCCCACGCAACTGTTCCAAACTTATGTTATCTGCCCCTACCAACAGCGGATATGCGCAAACATTCGCATTGCCCACTTCATAAAGGATCTGAATGGACCATTACTGGGTGATTAAGTACGAGCTTTGTTCCTGTTGGCTCGCCCTATTCACCAATAAATTGCGCGCTTATTAAGTCTGCCTCTAGCAAAGATGCCTACGCGTCATTCCGAACAGCAAAAAGGTGTAGAATGGACTTCCTAGCTCTGCCCTGGCAGGTCATCCTAGCGATACTTATATATTTCTGCGGACTGGAGAAGGCTGTGAAGTTTTCAAATGGGCCCACTGAGTGGGGAATGCTCTGCAACCTGAATGCGTCAGAATTTGATCCAGGAAATGTGGAATATCAGAGCGAAATCAAGAACAATGTGCCCCTTCTTTATGGCAGTCTCGCTCAGCTGTTCAAATCAGCTGGTGAACCTCCTACTAATAAATCAGTCTATACCAAACCCTGCTGCTTTTCCGAAAAATGGGAATCAGGTTTCATCGTCCACACGCGCCGTATAGGCCGTCGTACCCGCGGAGATCTCGGTCACTTCAGAATTCTTAGGCGACCGGAAGGAAACCCGGAGGCGGTTTTGGTGATTGGGCAGAGCGTACAGGCCACCAGCCTATGCCCCGGTTATGCTGGTGCCCGTCTCAAAACCTGTCCCACAGACCGTGCATCTTGCCTCGAAATCCCTCATCTTGGAGAGCCACGATGTATCTCCGAAGCTACGGGATTCCAATATATGCCCAGGAGTGATCGCACCCAAGAAGTTTGGTTTACCGACTCACGCATATCTACTGGTGGAATTCATCGCCATATCTATACTTTTGACCGTCGTTATGGGCTTTGCCAGTTGAGAACTTACCAGATCCTAACAGGCCAGTACGTCGATGCTAAAAGAAGTTGCCGGATGCTGTTTCTGGAAGATCGACTTATCATACCCATAACAGGATCATTTAAAATCAACTTTACACATGCGTTAGATCAAGATCTTTTCAACTGTAAGACTGCTAAATGATGTCCTTCACTAACCTTTTAACTTTGGATAAAGTTCACTTGAATCCGTTGTTCAAAACAAAGCCTGAGGATATTTATCTAAATTGTAAGAAAGGATTTTTCGGTTTGGCTAGTTTGTTGTAAATTAAGCTGCCATTGTCAACTGTGTGTATACTCAACTGGTTTTCCTACGTAGTTTTTGCTGCCTCTAGAAGACTGTCTGTTTCTTTCTGCAGTGGGTCTAGTCTACTTGAACCTATCGAGAGTTTTTTGGCGTTACGGCTGTCCCAGACTGTGTGCGAGTCGCCGAAAGTCGTTTGGATTCCGACCTTCCATTGATTTTGTCATTGTATAGATGTGTCAGAAATATATATATTCGTATTTACTTAAATAATGGCATCCCAAGCGATATATATTCTTAACAGTAAGGTTTTTTGGGAGAGAATAACGTTTATTGTGTGCATTTTTGTGTCTGATTTCCCAGTTCATCGTCAGACAAATGAGAGTGTTGCAAAAACAATTAACTCAAAAAGATGACTAAAAATACAAGATTGTACAGTGGGTCAGCGTGTGGGAAGATAATCGTCACCCGCATTTAATTATGTGGTCAGTGGGGAAAATAGCTGTTATCCGCATGTAATTATGCGGTCAGGGGGAGGACAATATATATTGTACAGGATTGTGCATT